GTATGAGCCCCACTATCAGCAAACAAGAGAGAAACGATTAAGTGATTCCGCAAAGACAAGATTATGTATTTTGGCAACATGTTTAAAAGATAACATCTGGCTAGAAGGAAGGAAATAATAGGAGCATGTCTCCGGGAGCCAGGATCTGAGGGACAGCCAATATGACAAAATCAATGTACAAGTTCAAAATCATATCGCTGCATCAAATGTAACTGATTGGTGAGATAAGGTCAACAATGTGAATATTCAGGTGCAAAAGCATAAAGTATCAATTGGCTTTTTTTATCTTATCAAAGGAATGAGAAAAAGTTGAGCAGAATTTCAAGACAAATGAGTGACAGGAGAACTATGATTTGTTAGCTGATCAATGGCCATGGACAGTGGTAAACGGCTGCAAGTTTATTTTAAGATCTTCTCCCGCAACGTTACTGCATCTGTCAAGAAAACCTCAAACTCACTTGCAACTAATTGCAAGTAATACATAAATGTATAAATCGAGGATATACAAGATGTAAAAGTCATTATCTGCATTGTTATTGTAAGGACCGCAGTTTATTTGAATTCCTAGTTTAAGCAAACTTTCATGGTCACTTTAAAGCCAAATTCTGGTATGACATTACCCCAAAGTATTATCTTTAACGTCAAATAAACATGATTGGGAAGTCCCAAAGAGAGATTAAAGTTTTTGTAGAGAGAGCAGACTGCAACAAAATTTCACTGCTGGAGCCCTTAAATAAGCAGCAGGGTTATTCAATCCATAGATACCCTATCCCAAAGGGCTACAGCATACTAAGTGGAAATTAGGCACACCCAATGAAAGTACCTTATGGACCAGGGCTGCTCCGAGTGACTTCTAGAACATGTTGCCATGGGGTTGTTTATATTGTTGTTTACATACACCTCCATGGGCTTGACAAAGCTAGACAATTCAGAATCCAGGCAGCAAAGGCTCCTTAAATAACTGTAGCACATGCATAGGTTTTCTGAGCCTTTTCTTTAGCTGCCAATAGAACTGGTTTCTTGGCTTTTGAAGTTTGCAATAGTTTTTCCACCACAAAGTTTAATACCTACTAGAAGGAAGACTGCAGCATGAAGTTTCAATAACTAAGTCATTTCCATTCGTTATTTAGTGCTACCAAATACCACCCAATCGTAATACTTTTTTGTATATGTAAGCAAGTTGAATCACCCACCATCATCTTGTTGAGGAACTCCAGAATGCAGATCTATCAAACAGATTCTCCTTCTACTTTGGCACTAGGTCAGCAAAGATGGAAACTGGCTAAATCAACCTTCCAGTATCCACTGAAGACTAAAAGCTCCAGCAGTTCTGTGTTATTTGCATGAAGCAGTCTGCTGCTTTCACTTACATGGGATTGGCTGTATCAATTCAAATAGTAGTGGTGGGAGCCAGAAAACATGCTGAAAATAAGGAAATTGCAGGAAGTGGTGAGATTTACTACTGAGTATCCAGCAAAGGATACCACGGACATGTGAGAAGTGTAAATGACAGAAAAACACATAACTTCCTAACAATGCTGTATCGTGCTTTGTGGAGTTCCCCAATTTGGTCTTGTATGTACAAGGTTCAGCTTGTATAAGAATAGTGTATAGCACAACAAAAGCATTGGCATTGCTTTAAAGCCCCATTTCAGCTTCAGTCTCAGGAAGTCAAATGTAGATCATAATGAAAGTGCTGTCAGTTTAAACAACATACAGTGTTTCCCCGAAAATAAGATACGGTCTTATTTTTTTGGGCTCAAAAAAACACACTGGGTCTCATTTTCGGGGTAGGTTTTATTTTTTAATGTCCAGGTGTGGACAGGGGGTGCAGAGGTGAGCTGCAGGCAGGTGTGGATGAAGGTTACTATAGAGAGGGCCGGTTGATGACAGTTGTGAGCTGCAGTCAGGTGTTGAAGAAGTGAATTGACAGGTGAGTTTCAGACAGGGTGAAGGGGTGAGTTGTGGACAGGGGATGCGGAGGTGAGCTGCGGCCAGGGGGTGCAAAGCTGAGCTGTGGCTGCTGAGAGGTGGGTTGCAACTCAGCTAACCTCTGCACCCCCCCCAGCTGCAGCTCACCTATGCACCGTCTGCAAATTCTCTGTCAATTTACCTCTGCAACACCTGACTGCAGCTCACCTTTGCACATCCCCCCTCCCCCTCCACTGCCCTCATATGGTTAGCTAGCTTTGCAAAAACACAGCTGTCAGCAGCCGTCCCCTCTCTATAGTAACTCCTGTTTTGGGTCCTATCTTCCCACAAAGTGCACCAAGCGCACTCACTCACCGCTACGCCTCTTCCCCACTGGCTGGCGATCACCCCTAGGTCATCGGCTTCCATGCATTAAGCCAGTGTTTCTCAAAATGTTTTCAGTCAAGGCACCCTTTAAAAATTATGGACAGTGCCGAGTCACCCTTTAAAATTATGGACAGCCTTGAGGCACCCCATTCTAAAATGGGGTGCCTCAAGGCTGTCCATAATTTTAAAAGTTCGCCCCATTCGAAAATGTGAAAAACTATTCTAATAGTTTTATATAATGCAGCAACATCCACACATGTAGAACACCCAACATTAGAGGTGATTTATTCTTCCAAAGCAAATACACTTCTGCACACTGGTACTGAGTAGTATTCCAGTGTTTCTCTTCTCCCTCAGTTTTTCTCCATGACTGAGCTATTGTGACCCCAGCACTGATGGAGAGGGGCAGGGGAGGGTCAAACTAGGATGCTGTGCAGGCAACTGACATCCTCCTTATCAACTGATGATGTCATTGGTTGTCAGGATGCTGGTGGCTAGAAAGTCATAATGGTGGACAACGAAAACCTATGGCTTTGTGTAACTAAAAGGCAGGCTTGTATATACGTTTTGGGCAATTTTTAGACATTTTGCCAGGGCAGCCCTGAAAAAACCTCAAGGCACCCTGGTTGAGAAAGGCTGCATTAGGCTGCAGGACGAGATGCCACGCTCTGCAACACACTGCCCACAGATATCAGTTCCTTCCCTGTCCCACAGTGAATACAGAGGTAGGAAGGTTCTGTGGGAAGACATGGTGCTGTCACTTACAAGAGGGACTGTCACTTGCAAACACAAAAGCTGCACTTCTGTGTTTATAAGAGACAGTAGATATTGGTGTGCACAAGGCCAGTGCCGAAGGTGGCGAAACAGCGTTCTGCCACGTTCCGGATGAAAAGAAAAGCCCTGATCACAACTAGGTCTTATTTTTGGGGTAGGTCTTATACTTTAGCAATTCCCAAAAATAGTACTAGGTCTTTTTTTCGGGGTAGGTCTTATTTTCGGGGAAACAGGGTATTAGCAGACGTTGAGAACCATCCGTAAGCTTCAGCACTACTTCAAGCTTGCCGAGTGGCTGCAGAACCCTTTAAGCAGCATATTTAAAGGACATCATGCTCAGATCTACTTTGTGGACTGCAGTTTGCTTAAAAGGTTTCAATAAAGCTGGCTGAAAGCTCTGCAAATACTTTGTAAATGCTTGCTGAACACTCTGCTCTTTCACATACTGAAGCCCATATGCACAAGGCCTCAAATGGGAGCTCCAACAATCAAATAGTTAACTGCTCATCTTTTTATAACAAAAGTGTGAATAACGATTACCTCTTGTTTACCTTTATCAACGATGACTTAAAAAAAGCAAAAGAGAAAATGTAGACATGACTTCCTTCTATGGGGACGCTGGGACTGATCATGTGACTATAACAGGAAGACATTCCCACTCAGCACCTGGAAAGACAGATGTGGCTGCAAGAAGTATGAAGCTAAGTGAAATCAGGGGGGGAGCTGCAACTGAAAGGGCAGCAGATAGGAAACTGGCCACATTCCTTGCAATGTATATGATTGACTGGTGGGGGGGAGGGGTTTTTTTTTTTTTTTTTTTCCCTCAGCAAAAGTGGAGGTACACCTAAAACTCAATACCAGACAAACATTTTTGCGGTTTTGATATAGTTGGGAAGAGTCAGAATATCGTTCAGGTTTATTTTTCCATCTGTAACTCTATTGGGGAAATCTTCTCTCACTTCCTGTCTCTGTGACATCAAGGAATGAAGGGTTGACTAGTCATACTGAAAAGAAAGCACAGACTTGCTTTTTGTTTGTGTCCCGAGTGGAGAGATTTTTTTTTATCACGTATTGTCATGACAGGAAGCGAGGGAGGATCTTCCCAGCAGAGACGCAGACTGCAAAATTTGGAGGCTTTGACCCTTCCTGCCTCAACACAAAAAAGTCCATTTTGTCTGGAGTTGGCCTTTAAGCCTTAGTGTTCCAAATCCAGAAATACACACAATTTATAACACCATATCCCACATTTGTACTGTAAATACTTTTTTCTTTCGATGCTTTACAACCAATAACATGGGCTGAACGGCTGTCCCACATACAGATGTGAGAACAGAAGAACTGCACTTTGATGCAGTGGGCTGCATATTATAAATCTATGTTATGGGCATTGTAATACCTTTGTTTATTCCTCTCTATTGCTCTTAAGTGGTCCATTCAGAAGACATAAGAAAGTTGTTCACATTAATTCCTGTGAATAAGCCCTAAAAAAGTAAGCCTATTCCTTCATCTACCATGGCAAATCTATTGCCACCACACAACTATCCTGGCAACTGACACAATATGGAAAAAAACAAAACTTTCTTAGGTTTGAACACAATACATAAACAGAACTTGGTCTGTGTGCCTTCACACACATAATTTCTCACTGGTAGAGACACATAAATATATTATAAAAAAATAAAGTGCTTTCTAAAAGGTTCCAGCAATGGAACATACAAAACATTTCACAAGAAAAAAAAAAAAGACAAATTAAAACGTAATACTACATCCAAATGAAGTATAAACAATGACAATATTTACAATCTCATGGGCATCCCAAGACAAACATCCCTTCATATACACGGTATATACATATACGCTGTTATCCTTGATCAATATATTATAACAATATATATTTTACATTTTTTGTTTTTACACAAGAAACCCTCCTACAAAAAAGCAACAAGGACCAAGCATACAAGACCAAGAACAACAGCTGGCAAAGCTTGTGCCTCACAACTGTTTCCACTTCCACTGTTTGGGAAGATTTGCCAGAGCTCCTTCCTGGGGTGCAGACCTTCCACGTCCTCCCAAGCACTGTAAGCTGCAGCAGTAAAGTTTGCATCGCCTGTTGTCAACAGGTCAAAGACACAAGAGTGGAAGTAGATGTGTCGGACCTGGAACTTTTCAAGACATTTGTCAACTGCACTTTCCAGTGTGTATGCCGATCGAGCCTGACTAGGTGATGAGCTGGGTGGAGTATTAACAGTTGCTGGAAAACGCAGGTGTCCACCTTCATCAATGCGTTCACTTGATGGACAGCCGTTCATGCACAGCTGTAAGTCTTGGCTCTCCTCGTAAGCCATTGCCAATTCCTCCGGCATGCGAATGGCCAAAGTTAGGTAGTTTCCATGTTGCCGTACAATGACAGTTGTTCCGATGTACCTGGCATGCATCTCCACATGCTTTCCGCTGACTTTCTCTATAATCCGCAAGGTTTTAGAGTCTCCATCTCCTCCACTAGTTGTGCCATCAACAAAAGCTGCTGGCAGGTCATCAGTCACAGCCTGGTAAACCTTCTGGTCGGTGCAATCGGGATAGGATTTAAATATGATAGTTATCTAAAAGAAAAAAAAAAGGAAATGATACATTACAATATAAAAAAAAGCTGAAAATATGTCAACCCCCACCCAAAAAAAAAAAAACATATACATTATCAAATCTCAGGGTCCAAGAAGTACATGTGCCTAAAGAGCTACATCTGCCAACCGAGTTTAATCAACATTTTCAACTGCTGTTACTTGAAAGATGTTTGTTGGCTTTTTGCCTAGATTGGCCTGGCTAAAGCAAGGTAAAACTCCTGATCCATATAATTGTTTTGGGTCAGAAACTCAGAATGCACCGGAGACACTGGACTTGCATGACAGTCAAAAATGGAGGCGGGAGGGACCTCAAGCACAGTGACAGCCTCAGCTCTATTCCTATGAAGCTCCTGTGTAAGGGGGTGTGTCCCTTCCTTCCAATCAGCTCTCCTCACTGATGTATTTTCATCTCTACGCCCCCTGCTTTTCACAGCTGAGAGATCTTATGTAATTTCTGCACTTTGAATGGATGTAGGGGAAAGACAGCTGTACATAAACAGGTACAACTTACATAGGATGATTTGTTTTATCTCTGTATAGCACCTGAATGGATGTAGGGGAAAGACAGCTGTACATAAACAGGTACAACTTACATAGGATGATTTGTTTTATCTCTGTATAGCACCTGAATGGATGTAGGGGAAAGACAGCTGTACATAAACAGGTACAACTTACATAGGATGATTTGTTTTATCTCTGTATAGCACCTGAATGGATGTAGGGGAAAGACAGCTGTACATAAACAGGTATAACTTACATTGGATGATTTGTTTTATCTCTGTATAGCACCTGAAGCCAGTCACTTTATTGGGTATATATGTGAGGGTTAACAATCACTTTAGGCTGAAATGGCAGATGCACAAGTTGTGATCGGTGGGCAGTATTGCCACCAAAACACGACCCATTCAAGTGGTGCATGAAATGTATGCGCTTGCAGCAAGAAGGGTTGACATATTGAGGGTTAAAGGATAAGTTCACCTTTTTGTTCAGCATCTGCCTGCTCTCTTCCTATCCCCCCTCCCTGTGAGAGTAGGCTGAGGATCTTCTCCCCAAACCTGCTGTCACAACTCAATAAAGAGCGCGGCCGTGCAGGGCTCCACCCACACAGCCATGGCTGACGGTTCTCAAACTACCAGGAAGCTGGTGAGCACTCTGTTAGTGAATGACTGGAAGATCAATGAACTAACTGCCTGCCCCTATTGGAGTTACAGACAGACAGCTACACAGATAGTCTGCAGGAGCCAGACAACACATCAACGATCTGCTGATCGTGGGTGCAATGCTTTACAGGTTTCAACTACAAAAAAATGTACATTTATTTTTTGTTTTTTTTAAAGGTGAGCTTATCCTTTAAAATAGATGGTGAGAAGGTGACATAAAGCCTCCTCCCTACCTGTCAAACAATCTGCTCTGCTGCTAGTAACCCAGCCTTAGACCTCAAACTTTGAGGCATTCAATGTTAACTGTGGGTGTATATATATCCACATCCAAGAGAGTCAGCAATGGTAATAAATGGCTGTAGGTGGGTAAATGTAGTGTTTGTGTAAACTTCCTAAAGTTTTTAAATCCTGCAATATGCTAAAGCAGCACTCCGGGATTTATGCCCTTGCACAAGTTTGGAAGTGCCAAGGACAGGTTTGGGAGACAATGCTATAGATATTGGTCACCAGTCCTTCCTGACAAGCAGATTTGAATCATTTCTCATTGGACACAATAGGGGATGTCTACAAAAAGCACAGGGGTTGACAGCTGGTAAAATTTTAAGGATCCATGAACACTGGCTTAAAAATACCAGAGCTCTTGGCAGGAAAAAAAATGCTAATTTTGATCGGTTTTTTTTTTTGTACTAGCGTTTAGGAGCATTTAGCATGAAACACTCTGAAAAATGGAAAACAGAAGGGTTTTTTTTTTCCCTGCCACTAATCCTTAGATATTTTAAAAATAGCAATTGTTTACTTTTAAATTACTTAAATTTAGTCCTCGCGCATACTGGATGTTTTTACAGCGGCTGTTTTTGGCTTCTGGCTGTTTTTTCTACAGCCAGTAAACTCCCCAGCATGTTACCCTATGTGTCCATGCACACACACAGACTGTAATCAGCGTTTTTTGGCAGGGGCGTTTTTTGGCTGGAAAAAAAAACCCAGTGGGTTTTTTGAGGATTTTTTTAGCTGTAGAAACGCTCTAATGCGGCAAACCGGTGTTTTTAGCAAAAAAAAAAAACCTGATAAAAACCGCAAACGTGGCAAAACGATAATACAAACAGTCGCTGAAATCTCAAGTTTTTACCATGTCTTTACACAGCTAACATTATCAGCATTGTTAAAACGCCAAGTGTGCATGGAGCCTAATTGACTACACATTCTAAATGTTACATGCTGAAAATGTGTAACTAATTTCTCAGAAATTTTTTTGTATATCGCTAGAACAAAACATGCCCCAATGGACACTTTGAAGGCTGAATGTTTCACAAAGGTATGAGGGCATATTTTATTCCTGATGATTTCAGAAACGGTAAAACATTTTCAATGTTGACGAATTCAGGGCAGGTAATAAATATTTTTGAGGCAGATGATTTCAGGGCAGGTAATAAATATATTTCAGGGCAGTGTTGATTTCAAATGGCTGCTTTGAATTGGTAAAGGTGATGTTAGGCTTTAATTATGAAAAGTACATGATCATATCCAAATGGACTCCGTCAATTTTCTTATGACTAGACAGCAGTTTACAAGACAAAAGAAAAAAAGAAAACAAGATCAGCAACATCTTCCTCAAGTTTACTCAACACCTGTGAGAGTGAAGAGAACTTGCAGAAGCAGTAATAATGAGAGACAAATGACAGGTCTCTTCATTTAATAGGTACCTTAGGCAAGCCACAATCATAACATTAGCACTGTAAATTACAGCATCAACTCTTCTCACAAAGCTAAGCAATTTGTCTACTTGACAGCCATGACTCATAAAAGTCTCTGACTTCTCCTACTGAAATCCACCTTGACGGAAAACTGCAGGACTCGTGTTTCAACTCAGGCTCTTAAGATTTTACACTTGAAAATAAAATTAGCAATCGCCTAATATTAAAGCTCTTCTCCTAACAGGAAGCAATCAGTGTGGATGAGCATACACTGCTGGCTGGTGGTTTCAATAAAAGTGTCATTTTGTTTAAAAAAAAACACCTTACGTAAACAGGCAGCCATCTTAAAGGCTAAGTTCACCTTTTGCTAAAAATAAAAAAAAAAAAAAAATTAAAAATGCACATTTTTTTGCATGTAAAAAATGTGCATTGATTAATTTTAGTTGCAGAAGCCTATAAACCATTGAATCAGCAATCAGAAGATCCCTGGTGCCATGCAGGTCTCCTGCAGATCTGTCAGTATATCTGCTTGCCTGTACGGGATGTACGGGCAAGCAGATATACTGACAGGAAGAATCAATCAACTACCCCGTGCTCCACAGTGCTGTGGTAGTTCATTGAGAACTAAAAGCAGACAGCTGCTAAGGCTGTCGGGGATTTGTAGTTTCTCATTCACAGAGGACTGAGTTGAATGAGTGACGCGGCTAGCGGGTGGAGCCCTGCATGGCTGCGTTTTTAAAAAAATGTTGACATAGTGGGAGGAGAAGATCCCTCGCTAGCTGTCAAAGCGGGGAAGCAGGGGCCGGTCTATTCCTAACACTTTACACCCTGAATATGGGTGTAACATGTAATGAAAGGTGAACTTATCCTTTAAAGAGAGCCCGGGACAACTGGGCTCATGCATTAAACACACGGGACCAATTATAGATTTTTTCACACAACTTTAACCCAGGAATTACACATTTTCCAAATGGAATCCAATTAGAAAGGATGTGTGAATCTTGGGTTAAACCATGATTTCATTTGAAATATCATGACTGGATTTGACAGGTACCTGCTCCCATTTCCGCTTGGATCGCTTAGGCCCACCCCTTTGCCCCTGTGACCCCTTGAAGCTTTACAGCCGGCTTCCCACTGCACATGCAGCTTACTACGCATTATGATTGAACCCACAACCTCCTGGGACCTGTGATGTGTCCCAGAAGGCTGCGGGACCAGTCACAAAGCACAGCAAGCCACAAGCATAGTGGGAAGCCAGCTGTGAACCTGCAAGGAGTCACAGACGGCTTCCTTTAGTAAACATACCGGTGCACCAAAAACTGGAGAAGAATTGGCTCAGGAGAGGACATCCCTGGATCCCTGCACAAAGTGTCCTTTTACTAAAAGTCAGCAGCTACAGTATTTGTAGCTACCAACTTAATTTTTTAGGGGGAGACTGAAGATCCTCTTTAAGCTGGCCATTCAAAGAACACTGCATCTGTTCAGCAGGCCAAACACTCTTCGACCTCATGTACACTGCTGCTCCTAAATGTGAGTTTAGGAGCTTTTGGTGTTTGCATGCCAAAGCCCCTGAACTCAACTCAACAAGAACCTACGTGCACATGTACACGTAGGCTTTTACCTGAGTTTAGGAGTAGCGGAGTTTAGGGGCAGTGAATCGTTCTTCGGAACACAGAAGAATCATGTTCAGTGCCAAAAACCACTAAACGTGGCAAAACCCGTGTAAATACGTCTAAACGCTAGCAGTGTTTAGGGCTTGCCTATTTATTCATTTCAATGGAAAATATTCTGGCCAATCAAATAAATAAATGTCCAAGCACTAAACACGGTACCACATTTACACGCGTATTTGCCACGTTTAGCGATCTACTGCCAGGAGAGGTAAACGTCTAGGGGAGTTCTTGCGTACACGAGGCCTTACGAAGCTCTTAATTTTAAAAACATTTGTTTGATTTTCCTAATCAAGGTTTGATTTAATTTGTAACTGTGAAAACATTCAAAGGAGCAGGCTGGAAAATTTCTCTTGAACGAACAAATTTCTAATAGTGTATGTGGTTTTTGTTCAGAAAATTCCATTTATTGAATAAAAAAACAAAACAAACAAAAACAAAGAAACGTGAAACACAAA